CTCTCTCTCTCTCTCTCTCTCTCTCTCTCTCTCTCTCTCTCTCTCTCCTGGCCACTCTCATCTCATATATTTTTTTCTTTATTATTTTCCTCACTATCTCAGCTCTCGTCTATGTGTGCAGATAGAAGCATATAAGAGCAACATGTATTTACCTGTGTCCATGTTTTGTATATATTTTTATACATTTGCTTATATATATATGCTCCTCTCAAACCTTCTAAAGGTTATATGGTGGGAAATTTCGACAGGTCTTTTTTTTTTTTTTTTTAATATCTATTCCTAGTTTTTAAAGGCATCCCACGTAAATGTACGTATGAATGTGTATGTGTATTTTGTTTTATCTTGTCTGAATAAAATAACGAGAATTTTAAAGTACTTGTAGTTAGTTTTATGTAATGAAAAACAAGATGGAAAAAGTTGAATAAACAAAAAATAAATAAATAAATTAAAAAAGAAAAATAAAAAGTAAAAAAAAAAAAAAAAAAAAAATTACAAATCTTTATTAAAAGCAAATTGAACTTTATAAGCCAAAATTTTCAATGGATTAAAACCTAGTTATATACATCACTTTTATTTACCTATCAATATCTACATATACATACACATATAACTAACTCTTTCATATATAGGTAATATATACTAAATTAGAATTGTAAGCTAAGAAAAGAGACAAAAAACAAATCACATTTATTATTTGTACAACAGCTTAAAAACGTTTGTAAAAAAAAAAAAAAAAAAAAAAAAAAAAAAAAAAAAAACTAAATATAATTGAATAAACTCCTTAGACTATAATATACGCTTTTAACTTAAAAAAAAAAAATATATATATATACACAGAAAAACATTCACATACACAGTCGACAAAATACAGCCATATATTAAAAGAAAAAAAGGAAAAAAAAAAGATTTAAACAGCACACACAATTATTTTAAGCTAAGAAGAAAAAAACAATCATCAGTGTGCAAGATATTAACAATAAAAAAACAAAAAATTGTAATCAAATTCTATATAAATTTCTTAGCAGAATAACAACATGAAATGTTAGACGAAGAACCTTAGATACATTGCTAAGCATATATATATATTTGTACATATATATATAAATATATATATATTGTATTTATATATATATATTATATATATAATATTTATATTATAATTATATACATAACTATATACTGATGCATGTCTGTGTATGCATATAATATATAAATAATAATATATAATATAATATATATTATATATATATATATATATATATATATATATATATATATTATATATGTATATATGTACATGTACATGTGAGTGTATGTAAAATAAGTAATAAATATTGCTGCCTTATATTCCTTGTAAAATATTTTAAAAATCCTCTACAAGATAATCTTTTGATTTATCATATAAAGAAGAAGAAAAGGTCAATTTATGCTTTATGCCTTCTTTTATTCAGCTTTGTTGTAAATTATTCCAAACATTATTCGATTTTTCTTTTTAAATAATTATTTTATATATATTTATTATTTTATGTATATATATATATATATATATATATATATATATATAAATGTATGTATATATATATATATATATATATGTACATTTTAGATAAACTTAATCTTAACTCAATTTTTTTTTTCTTTGTCTTAATGAAATGTTAAATAACTAAATGAAGTGGAAAGAAAAACGAAAGATATCAACTAATTAAACTTAAACTAAAAATAAAGAAAACAAGATCTATATAAAAAAAAGGCAAAAGTGTTTAGCTTCAACGGGTAACTAAACGCCTTCTGGATATCGCTTACCGTAAGGTGTTTATCGATTGCGAATCAAAAATCTGAACAAGGCAGCTTTCATTTACAAAAATACCTGCAGGATTTATACAGAAATTACAAAACCTTACGTAACATTTTAATCATAAAAATAATTAATTGAGTAACGTCGATTGGAATTCGGTTGGCAACCGAATAGTGAATAGTGTTTCATAAATATCAATAAAAGATAAACCAATTTATATAAAAGATAAATCAAATTATATTTAATGGAACAATATAATGTAAGGACTAAAACTGGTTGCCGGGTTCGCCATCAACCATCCACTTTCCATCGAACCTAATCGTCTAATTAATTCGAAAGCCAACTATATTCCTAATTAAGTAGTATTATCTCTGCACCTGACCGACAATACAATAGACTTATAACCAACTCTTCCGATTGGCCTTGCCAATCCATAATACTCTGGATTGAACTCATATTCATAGTTAGAATCAGGATTTCTTATTCAGTTAGTCCGGCTTGGCACGTGGCACATGGCACGTTCTCTTATTTACTACCAGTTTTAAGCCGATCTTAAAATATCTTAATGTATCCTAAGATACGTAGTATATTTAACTACTACGTGTACCTGGTACCTTACTTAGATCCCCACACATACATATATACATATTTATATAGTTATTATAAAAAGTACAGACGCTCTCTATCTCCACTAAGTTGATCCTGCCTAGCGTGAGATTATGACTCAATTTAAATCTGTCAGCCCGATCGATCCTTTATATGTTTATATTTTTGCATATTTGGGCTCAGAATGCCTACGGTCATTTTAAAAATGCAAGGACAAAAAGTCGTATATATATATAAATATAAATTAGAATTTATATCAACTATTGCCGTACATCCGCATTTAAACCAGACAATGAATTTATTTTTGATTTCTAAGCTCACGCTTAATACCGCAGACGCCTATTTGGTAATGACACATTACTTTTGATTCGAAATTAACTACCTTCAAAACTGCAATTTAATTGTGACCATGTTTTGGCATTCCTATAAAGCCGTCTAATATTCTAGCGCTTGTACGTAAAATCGCTTCCCCGGGAAACTGAAAAGATGATGACGATCTACGTTTATCAGGTAATTCAATCAGGCAATTCAATGACATTGATACGCTTTTCATTGAAGAGACTCAATCTTTGCTGCTACCAGAAAGCACTCTTTATATGTTAACACTGGTTCCGTAGATCGCATATCTAAACGTTGGTGCACACATTCCAATAAGCAAGAGGCACGTAAACCATATTCGGAGCGAATAATCCTGTGGAAATCTTGAAAGTTTCTGAACAACATAATATCGATAACTTACGCTAACTTTATTTTAAACGACTACCCATACTAATCATTTAGTCTTTCTTAACCATAGAGCAGATAATAGTATTAATTATGCGCAAAAGTAGTCAAACAGATAAGAATCGCGGCGACCGAGTTAGTAGTCGCAGGTTCAAATCTCATTGCGGTGCAGATGAAATTATTTAGAAATTAATGGGAGGTGTAGCGAATTCGAATCAAAAACAGATGAAATTGTTTACAAACCAATGGGAGGTGTAGCGAATGCGAATCAAAAATAGATGAAAGCTCATGCCACTCAGCACAATTCACCAACAATGTTAACGCAGGATTATTTAAAGATGCAGGGATGTCGCTCTATCAATGAAAAAAGTACTATATGTGGTGAATGAACAGAGTTGCTTTCAATAAGTAAAAAAAATAAATAAATAAGAAAAATGGTGAACCAAAAATCCCTCTCATTGGTCAAATGGGACGAAATAACACATATTGTCATGATGATATCTGTTAAATTGGACGAAGGGATGGAAAAAAATCGTAACAACTGGATATATAATATAATAAACAATAATGAAGAACGTGAGAGAATTAAGGAAAAAACTGAAGAGTTGCAATGTCATATTGATGAAACTAGTCGCAAAAACAAAGGCAGCAATACCACAATGCTGCCAACTATTAACAATTTTTATTTTTTGTAAACATCGTATCAAATGCCGCCGAAATACGAAAATCGTTCGTCGAGGTTTTTATTAAAATCATTCGATTATCATAAACAATTTTCCCATATCCATGCCAATCGATTGGCTGAAATGTCTGGGCACTGGTTAAATGATCCAATAAGCATGTGGGATAAAGAACACCGATAAAAAAATTATGTGATCTACGAGAAGATTTCGAAGAAGGATGTGTTATTGGAACGATTTATAAACGTCAGGCTCATAAACGTAGTATTCTTAAAGAAATTTTTATGAGAATCACTTGGCTCCATAACCCAATGACTATATGGGTTGTTCTGACAGAGAAAATAAATCGGTTCATTAGCGAAAAAGGATTATATATATGCACCAAAAAGATCTATTCCACTTAAGAGGCTTTAAGAGGCTTTGCGTTGAAGTCAATTAACCTTTGCCGAACTGTGCCAATAATACCGAATCACGCTTTGTGCAAATTGAAATGATTACGAGAAAAAACTTGGTAATAGGAAACAAATGGAGTCCGTTTCAAATTGAATTTCAGAAATGTTTTCAAATCAGTGCCAGATGAGAACCGTCGATCGACTAAATGCGAAAATTGTAGTTTAGCGATGTCCATCTTTCACGTCATCGATTTTGTGGAGGACATTTTACAAGTTAGCCTAAAATTAGACCGTCATAATTTTTAAACAAAGTCCTCGCTAAATTCCCTGTTGAAAGGCAAGGCACAGAGTCGCTTATAATAAATAAATGGTTAAAAGCCCAACTTAACAACTTAAATGTTAAACGCGCAACTTAACAGACCAGAAGACCAGAAGACGTGAATAACGGACCAAATTGGCAAAAGCCGTCGGCAAAACACACGCAACTTAACATGGAAAAAAACTTAACATTAGCTAACGGACCAAATTAGCAAAATAACAAAAACAATTCTATTTAAAAAAATAAGTAAATTTTTTATATTCGGCCGGTCTGCGCCAACCTATTACTGCCGTTGCGAATGTAGCTGCCGTAGTCAGTAAAATTTATTAGGTCATTGCTCTTTGATACGACGCATAGGTATTTTTTACTGATTTGTTTTAAAATAGACTTTTAAATACAATGGTAAAAACATATTGACAGAAACCCCCTACACCCATATACACGGACGCTATAATATCTAACTCTATGGATATTAATATGAGATGAATATGGTCATTTTTTTTTTAATTGTAACGTACATAAAAATGAGCTCGTCTATTTGCCTTTTGTGGGTGACGAAGACACAAAACACTTATGGCTACCCGTTTTTTAGCGCAAACGTAAACTTCTAAAAACGAGGCAACATTATTTCATTAAGAATATTATTTTGCTATAATCTACCTTCCAATTCAATATTTTCTAACTAAGTGGCAATTCTAAAAATTTGATTCGCGTTTGACAGCTGCGTTAGTTTGGAAACTGTTTAAGTAAGATACTTTTTTAACATTGCGCCTTTTTTACACATCCCGGCGAATTTTCGATTATGTTTGGCTGAATAACAGAAGAAGAAGAAGCATAGTTATTATTGATGTCAAAAATAGGTGCAAATATGTAAATTTTTCTCCACAAAATCCTTGGCACCCACAATAAAATCTTAGTAGCAAAATGGCTAGTCGAGGGACTAATATTCGAGACTGCCAATCAGCGAGCGAGTGTCATGAATAATTAAAGAAACTTCAACATTATTATTAGCTAAATTACATAAAAACGCTTAAGACGGCGAACAACCGCCAAGTTGTGCTTAAACGAGTCAGCGGCGATATGTGTACTTGTCTGAAACTTCACCTCATACTAAGACTCCCGTACAAATATATATATATATATCTGTATATGCATAGGGTGATCAAAAATATGTATTAAGAAGAGTTCACTTACGCATTCTTAGACAATGTAAGGGTTGAGAAGCTTGTCATAGTCTCTCTCATAAGGGTCGTTCATAAATACTTTATGAAGAAGGTGCAGCAGATTACCTTATTTCTCGATTGGATTGCAACGACCTATCTACTAACTATCAAACATGTTTCATAGATCATTTTAAAAATCTAATTAAACGCCTTGACAGCGTCGAAGCGGGGAACAAACTGAAACCCCGAAATTCGTTGACATAATAACTTTAATCCAGAAAATCTTACATTAAAAATCATTATTTTTCGTGACGCTTATAGAGTGCAACAAAAACACCACTATTGTGCTTGACATATTTTAATAGATTAGAATTTCCTACAAGGCGTAACGAATTCCCAATTTAAATAGAGTTTATTTAAAATGATAATCAATCATTGCCGCTGATAGCACGTCGTCGTGTCTTTTCTTTTTGTTTTCTTCTTCTTGTTCGTTTTCGATTGCCGCGTGTATCCACATTTAATATATTTGCTAACAATGAAAAAGTTTATAAATAAAGAAATTGTTCAGGCGATACTCATAGCGGACAGTAATGCGAAAAATTTTCGGCCTTTTTCTGAAACCGAGTCCGTGGTGGGTTAAATTGAACATTTTTATAACGATGACATGAGCATTTAGCTTTTTAAATCATTATGGCTTATATTGCAGGCCTTGCTACCAATGGTAAACGAACCTATGCTTGATTATGCGCTGGAGGCATTGAACCGCAGCGGCGTAATGGAAGTATTTATCTTCTCAAGTTTGCATTACGAGAATGTAAAAGGTTTTATAAAGTTGGTTGTTTCAACTTTGTTTATCTATTTTGTAAAAATATCGTTCTTCTCCTCAGCGAGAGTTTAGCATCAGCATCATGCTGGGCAATTGGTATGACTGTGCATGTAATAGGAGGAGAAGGTTGCAGATGCTTCGGCGATGCTATGCGTGAACTTGATAGCAAAGGATTAATACGTGAAAATTTCATATTGCTCGATGCTAACTGCGTTACTAACGCCGATTTAAAATCTATTTTGGGACAACATAAGTTAGTTCCGTTCCTCTTTTTTTAACATTCCACACATTTGAATAATATCGTTATATTTGCAGGAAAACAGTGGCTTATGATAAAGGAGCCGTCGCCACTCTTATATTTAAACAAGCTAATATTCATGTTCGTACTGGCAGTGAAGTTATGATTGCTATGGATATACAGAATAAACGATTGCATCATTATCAAGAGCTATCTATGGACTCTAAAGAAATAAATTTTGAGATTCCTTTAGAAGTGTTTACCCATAATTCCGAAATAGCATTGCTGAACTTAGTTAATCCGGAGATAGCAATAGGATCGCCATCTATGCTTTCTCTATTTTCGGATAATTTCGATTTTGAGACACGAGCAGATTTTATTAGGGGAATTCTCATTAATGAAGAAATTCTAGATAGCCGCATTTATATTTCTCTACTGTCTCGCCAGCACTATGCACGAAAAGTGAACAATTGGTTGTCCTATCAAATTGTTAGCAATGATATAATCAATCGTTGGACCTATCCATTAGTGCCGGATATGGGCATCAAATGTTTAACTCAACAGTACGTTTTCCTAAAAAACAACATTTACAGAAGTGCGACCGCGAATTTAGTTAAAGTAGGATTGCGAGAAAATGTTGTTATAGGGAACAAAAGTGCTGTTGGCTTAGGCTCTCATTTAGATTGCAGTGTTATTGGAAGGAACGTGCTGATTGGCCAGAATTGCCGCTTGCATTATGTATTTATCTTCGATAATGTCATCGTGGAGGATAATTGCGTATTAGAGTTTTGTATTATAGGTTCTGCGTCAAAAATAGGCTCTAAGTGCGAACTTAAAAATGTACTTGTTGACTATAATTGTGTAATACCAAAAAATACTAAATTGATGAAATCACAAGTATTCTCTTCACTCCCAAAGGATGGACGAGGTACAAGTGAAATACCAACTATACAGTCATGTTATGTTTTACAATCTTTATATAACCAGATGAAATGACGAGGAAAATAAGTGAGAAAGCATATGTGATAGACGACGAAGCTGAAGTTGCTGACGATGAAGACGAAAGAAACCATCCTGCTTCACCAAAAATGGGAAAATTAACCACAATTCTTGTAGATAGTGATTACAGCTGTAGTAGTGACGAGAGCGAGTCAAGAGGTTGTTCTCCTATATTAGACGACGCCAATGGTAAGATCTTGTATAATGAAAACGAACATTACCCTAAAATGGTAGACCATTCTTCTTCTAGGTTTCTTATCGGAAGTAATAGATTCTCTGACTCGTGGTCTGCAAGAAAAATCGAACCCAGAATATTTAAAATTAGAAATCAATTCATCACGTTATGCTTACAATATGTCTTTGAGAGAAGTTAACTTCAATGTTGTGAAGGCAATTTTTAACTTACCGCCTATAAAGGAGTCATCACGTAACATTTCAGTTGCATTGAATACGGTGTTCGATCAATTAAAACCCATAATAACGCATTATATTACAACAGATGACGCAATGATGGATTGCTTGAAAGCTTTAGAAGTAAGTTAATGTAGCTATAAACACTGTATTAAAGATTGTTTTCTTAACATGCTGTGTTTTTTAGGATATTTTTGAGGAGAATGAATTTGTGCGCAGTAGAATGTCGCAAGTTGTTCATTATTTGTACGACAAAGATTTTATAACGGAAGACATTATTTTGGCTTGGTACGAACAGCTTGATAATGATCAGCACAAGATCTTAAAGCAAACCTTGCAGAAATTCATCGAATGGCTTGAGCAATCTAGCGATGGTGATAATGAAGAAACGGACTAAGATTTTTGAAAATGTTCAATAAAAATAATTGTGTTCTTTTTCTTATTATTGAAATAATTACAAACTAAAGTAAAGGCAAAGTCAAAAATTAATAAATTTACGTTTTTTTTATCTAGCATTGTTGGTGTTTAAAACGTTCCCATCAGTATTACTCGTGTTGTTGCTATTACTATTATTGCTAGTCGTGGCCATAATACTTTGTCCGATACCTAAACGGATATGATGCAAGTGTATTTGGACATGCTTCTGAAATGTCTCCACATTGTCACCATGCAGGTCAGAGCGCACTTCTTCGATACATCCCTCCAATACTTTAGATACTTGTGTGGAGTTATCGTTGCTCAAGTGTGAGGCAACTAAAAGGACCGTTGCCAAGTTCTTAATAAGATTTAAAACATTTCTGTTTTTTAGTAATCCTTGATTATTACGTTGCACAGCATCTTCCGCGGCTTCTCGACACTTTTCACGTAAATATGATGGCGTTAGCATAGCCTGAAGTTGCGGGTCACGTGTCAAATCGTTGGCATATGCTTGAACATCGTTCAAATAGTCTTGTATGTCAAGGTTCATCTTTTCCATAGATATAACTATCGACGCGTAACGTCGCTGAAATTCTTCGCTTAACGGTACGGCTTCTGAGGCAACGTTCTGTGAGTCATCGGACGAAGATGAGTTTGTATTGTTATGCGATGTAACTAGTTGTTGTGAGGCCTTCAGTTCAGCTTCATTATTCATGTCGCTTAAACGATGCAGTTTGGAGCGTTTGATAGTCAGAGCACGTTTTAATCGCACCAGAGTTTCCAAAAGCTTAGGCGGATATCCATTTAGGTTTTCTCGTCCCAGTACAGGATTTTTAAATGGACTTTCAATAACTTCTTGACCCAACAGAGGATCACTTTTGTTAAGATTCATATTAAGAGCAGAGCGAACGTTCCGCATGCCTCCACGCATAGTTGACCCCGGACTCAAAGAACTAACATTGTTACTACCATTGTAAATACTCATCAAACTAGGCCGAAAATCTTTAGTGATGCTTTGTATTGTCAACATTTCGTGGAAATTTTCCGATACAATTTCAAAATCGGGTATTGAATGAGTACCTAATCCGTTACGATCAAATGTGACCCTATACATGGACGATAGCGAATCGAATGCATCTACAGAGCCACTGAAAATACCATCTTGCGGCTCACGCAATCTTGCTGTAACTTTAGTGCCGACCGGCAAAGGTAGTGGGATTTTTTCAGGTAAATCCCGAAGAAAATCTAAATCCTTAATTTCGCCAGAACGCCGTGTTTGCATATAACGCATCTTTTGGCGTTTCTTTTCCAATTCACGTCGCTCTTCATCAAAAAACGCTTGAGAGCAGCGGCGTGGCTTTCCCATAAGAGAACGAATGTTCTGCCATTCGGCTCGTGTTAACTGTCGAGTGCGCAAACCGGGAAATGATTCAGATAGGTACACCTGAAATTCATTTTCACCCTCAAAAAGTGGTTTGTCAACGAATGAATAGAACCATTCGAATATCACCCACTTATGGGCCTTTGGAAGTTTTAACAAGTTACGCAATCGCATACCGATACGTTGGCCAATCTTTTTGTCTGTTGGTAAAACCAAAGAACTGGCAGAGGAGCTTCCCGGAGTTACTGCATTATTTTTCGCCTCCGATTTCGGCGTATTATTTAAAGAGCTGCCGCCACTATTGCATTTATTTTGAACAGGAGAATCGATCATCGGATCCTGTTGTTTGCTGTGTTTATGTTGAGAGATTTTATCATCACAACGCATATAACGGGATACTACGCCTTTGCGCTTTTTCAAAATTTTTGTCGGCGACTTATTGGGAGAACTTACTTTAAGCGTTGATGATGCTTTGCGAGGCGATAGACTCATGCGCAACGGTTTGTCGTCGTTGATGATGTTATCGTCAAAGAAAAATCTATTTCGCTTTCGAATTCTGGCTGGCATGCCGCGAGCGTTTAGTATTTGTATAGGTTGTTGGGGTTGAGGTTTCGGTGGCGGAATTGTCCCTACGCGCTGCAAGCCCAGTGTAGCTAAGCTGAACGCGGGCGGTTCCTCATCCGAAATAGGGGAAATTGGTTCCTGTTTTGCCATTTTTATAACACCACTGCCAGTATCTTCGTCTTCTGTCATGGTTATAAACAAGATGTGAGAACACTTTAATTAAAATAAATCACTTATATATCGTTTTCTTGCTCTCAATTAAAACTAAGAACGCACACACCGCATACAAATAAAACAATTTAAGTATTCTTTTTTAATTTTTCATATACTTTAATTAATCTTTAATACTTTTATTTAAGAGTCACAAATTCAATATAATAATAATAATTAGCATAAATACAATAATAGTGTGTTACACATACTTGTAGGCGGAATTCCTTTAAACTTTTCTTTACAAAGCATCACATTCGCATAGTTTTTACTTAATATTGTTAACGTAACTTTTCCTTAATTGTCGAGATGAACAACAACAACAACAACGACAAAAACAACAGTAAACAAAGTAATTCTTTTTCTCCATTTCCCTATGCCACTACTCTCTAAATTTATATTCTAATCCGATTTCTGTTAGTTGATCGATCATTCCTTCATTCTTTCATAAAAAAACTACAGTACACATGCATTTATTTGCTTTAATAATTTGACGTTTGCGTTCCTTTCTTTCTATTTTACTTTGACGTGCTCTTGTGTCTGCGTATTTGTGCCAATAAATATATAGCTGTTCTCTGTTGAAATTTTTACACACATACAAAGAGATTAAATTTTCGTTTTCAACAAAAAGAAAAGAGAAAAAACAAAAATAAAATAAAAATAATAAATAAATAAATAAATCAATCACAATTGTGTATGTACTATGTTATCGCACGCAATCCTATTCACAGCTTTCTCACTCCTCTATTCTCTTCTTCAATCCTACTCGCGGAAGTTGCGCGTGTGAGTGCGTTTGTTTGTTTGTTTTATAATTATGTATAAAATAAAAATAAACATGCCCTTTTTTTTAAACATTTTTAACATTGCATTAACAATTATTTATATAGTTTTAGTTATGTTTAACAACAATTTATCTACAAATACATTTATGTCGTTCATCTTCAATAGACAAAAATACATGTAACAAATACATGGACTGAAACTCTGAACACGAAGTCTAACAGAAATATATTCCCTAAAGTACGTACATATACAAATATATGTGTTGTTGACATTTCGCAATTGAATCATTGGCAATTTTAATATATCCGCTTGCATACATAAAGATACTTTGGAAAATCGCATTTAAATATTGAAACGCGTTTCAGATCCATCCGCCAACATCAGCGTTACTTGCCGATTGTTGATCCAAACAAGTTTCGCCAATCGCATTGGATTGAGACGTGATACGTCTGGTATGGGTGCTGTCGAGTAACCCTTTGTGCACCGAGTTTGAGATTGCCCAAGGCCAAACATTCCCGTACTTGTTTGCCAGAAGGACAAACGATTCTCGCTGCACGAATACGAAACCAAGTATTTACCATCTGGTGAAAATGCCAGAGAAGTAACTGGATGTGTGTGGGCCGGTATCATATGACACTTGTTTTGACGCAATTCGTACAAGGCCAAATGGCCATTGTTCGCACCTACCGCTATACGGCGAGAGTGTGGACAATGCGATATTTGATTAAAACGACAAATAGATGGACATACTTCCACCAGCCCCTTACTTTTCAAATCTGCATTGTCCACACAGTGCAAGGTAATGTCCATTACCTCTACCAATAGTCCGGCTATTTCGGCCTGCATTTTATCAATTAACATCTCAATGCATTGGAGAATTTCACCTTTTGCCTTATACAACACAGATTGCGTAAGGGGCACATTAATCGATTGTGGATTTTGTTGCATACTATTATATCGTGCCACCTCACGGGCCATAGTGGTTATGAAAGCTGCCGGCCTCGCTGTCGCTATTAAACGTAAAGCATGGCGAGCTGTACGACAGGCATCCGCTTGAGGTGTGAGCGGAAGTTTGTAATTGAGATTAGGTACATTTTTACCTTCACATGCGATTTCTAATAAACCTAGGAGAACTTTGCTAACGTCCAAATAAGGTTCCCAAACTATAAAACCTCGTCCAAGGAGATCAACAGCCGCTCGTCTGAGTGGGGTATATCGAGGTAATTTAGAGGACGGCGGTGCATACAACAAATGAGCTAAGGCCATTGAAGTTAAACGTGCTAGATTATTTGCAATACCAAAGCCTTCAACCACTGATGATTTTCGACGTTCTCCGATGGCGATGCCACCACGACTTTGCGAATCTTGATCTATGTCTTGGCCAAATTCAGCTCCAATAACTCCCAATAATATAACGGACGTGGTTTGTTTGCGCTTTAGTTCCGATAAACTAGAGGGTTTACGTATAATTTCCTCTTCTTCTTCTTCATAATCTTCCTCGATATTGTCACCGCTTGGTAGGGTTCCGTTTCCACTGCCTACTACGACATTGCTAGCTGTATTGTAGTGCCCATTGGAACTGTTCTGTTGCTGATGGTGTGTTTGTTGCACAATTGGTTCAGTATGTGTATATAAGGGCAAATATTGGGCCCAGCTCTCTACCAATTGCTTACGTCCTCTTTTTCCCATACGCCTTAACTCTCCTAGTAAAATCTGTTGTGCGGCATCACGAATTTCAATGCAATGGTGTTGCCAGCGTTTGGCCATCATTTCTACTTGAGGTCGCTTAAACCTTTTTGGTTCAAGAGCTTCAATTTTGTCCGGCAACAAGAAGCAATGATGTGTCGACAGCAGACTCCAACCTTGCTTAATTTGTGACATGTGATGGGCCAATATCTCTTCATGTTCCTCTTCGATTGTCATGGTTGAATCAGCGCGTTGACTCAACCGCATCAGTTTTTTACTGCGTTCACTCTCTGGTAAAAATGAGGCCGAACTCATGGACAACAACGTATTTGACATTGCGACCATTGCAAGTATATGATTGGATGTAAGCGTAGTGCTGAGTTCCCAGTGTAGGCGAGATGTGAAAACAGCGGTCAATTGTTCCAGTCGTTTCAATTCATCGGGCATATCACGTCTCTTAGAAGTACACGGTATTATAAGATCTTCTGGTATATTGAAGTTGTTTTGCCATGTAGGAAGAAGCAAAGACATATAACCCGCTTTTGAAAGAATGCCAAAGGATATCGGTACCATTGGTCTTAGCAAGCCCAATTGAGACTCGCATACCTTGTCGAGATGAGGATCCAGGCCCCATGAATGCAACAGTGATAGTAATAACTGAGCAACTTCCATGACATGAGTAACTTCCATTTTGGACGCAATTTTGCTTTTCAGGTCAATTTTACTGCTTTCCGATTCTTGTGTATCTACAACTTTTTGCAGACTCTCTTGTACTTTCGCCTGGACTTTCTTCTCCATTATCTCAGTTTTCTCTTTAAACTTTTGCACTAAACCATGCTTGTCTTTGTCTTTCAGGATTTTCTCCATATCTCCTGCCTTATTTTTTACTTTTCCAAAAAAATCGCTGATCTTTTTAGAAGCTTCCAGGTGCAAAACCTTTTCTTTTTGACTATTTAAAATAATACCTAATGCTTCTAAATCGGCTACGTTCATTTTAGCGTACTCTTCGCTATGTAACTCAAATATTAGTCCCTCAATATCAAAAAACAAAATGTGACTTTCGGCATCTTTGGGGTTTGTACGGAGACCTTGGATTACCAATGGGTTGCTGCGATGCTTCATTAAAAAGTCGAAATTACCCTGATGGTGTCCTTGCAACTGCTGCAGTTGATGTATTCCCCGTTGCGTGGCGTGGCGTATAGCATTCATGTTGCGTGATTTAAGACCGCGAAAGAAATGTACAGCAGGATTTGCCAGACCGAGTTCAGAGTTCGAGGAATTAGTTACAGTGGAATCATCTGAAACTTGCTCATCACAAGCCATTAATACTTCTTCTGCTATCATGCCATGTAAAACTCGATCTAAATGTCCAGTCTCCATTTGCCATACGTACACTGAGCCATCAGAACAACCGACTATCAGAAAATCATCCAAAGGGCGCCATTTAATAGTTACAACTGGGAATAGATGTCTACTAGCTAAAGTTACACACTTTCGCTCCTGCAAACTAAGCAAAGTTACTGAGTGATCTGAGGCAACAGAACAAATGCATTTTAAAATTCGTGGGCTACATGTTTCAGGAGGAACCAGAAGCTGAGTTATTTCACCAGCATGAACACAAAAACGATGCAATAGGCAACCACTATATAAATCCCAAAGGCACACTGCAAAATCAACACCTCCTGATAAAAGATGAGATTTTTCATAGCGCTGATGAACCATTGACGGGCATAGCAAGCAATTGACACGACCCCTATGACCGTAGAGTATTTGATGTGAGGGCCATTCGCTCAAATTTTGTTTGATGCCGATTAAAAGTTGCATCATGACAGTCTGAGTGGCTGGGACAATAACAATAGATCCATTTTCGCGTCCTATCACTAAACGACTTTGTTGAGGCAAATAAATACTCGAAGTCAATTTGACCGGGAAGTCAGTTATACGAGACAATTGATCGAGGATTCCGACGGGTGGGGGATCCATCATTGACCATGCTTCAACAAGCGATGTATAAATGGTGGGTTTCAAGACGCGTGATGGCATTTGTTTAGCCTGTAATATGCTTATGTTGTCAATAGGAACATCTGGTACATTCCACACCGATATATATCCCTCAGAATCTCCTCGCAACAAAAGCGAAACAGTAATTTTGTCTTCTTTTTGATATTTCAAGAGTTTCATGGCAGGAGGGCAGGAAAGTATTTTATCACCAGGCTGCTGAAGTAAGTAATACAGATAAGGTGCATCCCGGACAACACTTTTGGAGTGAAACTCTTTGTTATCGGGTATACAATTGGCAGGCAGCTTATACAGGTATCCCTTGCCCTCATCTGTCCACAACATGACACGATCTGAAGTAATGAAATCTCCCCCTTGCCACCGTTCTCTAGCAGGCGCGATAACAGAACACAAAACAGTAAAATCACCAGCGTCATAGATCTGCCAATATTTCGTGCAAACAACAAGAACTGTTCGCTGATTTTGTGAGCAACAATTCATCGTGATAGCATTCAAGCAACGTATCTCTTTAGACTCATTTTCATAAATAGGTTCGGCATGCTTGTTTTCATTACCAATTAACGTCCACACTTTTACCGTACCAGTGGTTGTTATGGCCAATACCACGTCATCTTTGCGCCGCATTGGCCTTAAAACGTGTAGTGCAGATATCCAATCGGGTTTTACCTTAGAACTCAGAACATATATAACTTCCAGACTAAATGGATCCATGACCATAATCTCTGGGTAGTAGCCAATGCAAAAGAGACGGGCATCTTCACTATTAGCTGTATGGTAACTCTGGATTTGCGTATGAACTTGAGGTAGTTTTACTGATTCGGTGCATTTTCCGTCCACAAGATCCCAAGTGCACATTTCACCGTTTTCGGATGAGCTTACAAGAAAATTGTTGTCTGCAATTATCGAGGCGCGCACTAAACATGTAATTGGGGCGGAATGACCAACCAAAAGACACCGAGGCGACATTTTTAATGTGATGGGCTCAACATGCCACAGGCAGATTTGGCCATCGTAACAACCAGTAGCTAATGTAGTTTGGTCGTCTGAAAGAAATACACTCGAAACACAATGAGTGGGGGCAGTTGGACCCCATAATACTACGGGCACCACGAGATTGGTGCTAACCATAATGATCTATAGTTGGTTTGCAGAGTTCCGAAATAAAAAGGAAGAGAAGAGAAAATATACAAGTTCAAGCAACAGCCTTGACTAGCAGGTTACATATATTACGCCATAGATTAACAATCAAATATGCATCAATGATATGTTCTTCTTCTCCAAGTGTTCTAGATGGACGTACGATCCGTAATCTGTGGCGTAACTATGAACCATCCAATATAACAATTGTCTAATCAGAATTGTATTTAAACATTGAATACTTTCGCTAATGCGTCTACAAATCCACGTCACAGCAGCGTTTAATCCTTTTTGTGAGTCGTCGACAATACAACAGTATGGCAATTTCCAAACACTTCAATATTCTGACAGCAAATTAGAAGAATTCTCAACAGGAACAATTGAAGTAACAATAAATATTACACTTCTTCAATGTCATATAATTCACATCGCCAAAACTTATAAAATGGCAAGTACTGTGCAGTACCCCTTTAGTTAATTATAATTTTGGAATTTCTTCGCGATGCTTTTTTATATACAAAGCTTGTTCAACATTAAATATTTATGAAAGAAATTTACGTATCATAAGCCTTTTTCTTCTAATATCTTTAACAAATTTATGGTCTATGTGTATCGAAGAAAAACGAAAATATCGACCGAGTGAAAAAATTATCGATTGACTTTTCCGTCATACATATGTACGTCAAAGTTAGAGTTGCCAGAAATTTTTTGCACAAATTTTAGTATCACATGTCACAATTTTGTAGAACAGCCGGTCACTTTTTTCTCTAGCTAAAACATGATACTCATCTTTCCATTCTTTTATGATGAGTTTTTTGACTAGCAGAAAAGCTTCGCTGGGGGGTAGTTTATGGACTGTACCATCGAACCTAGCTTGACGAGCATGGAAGTCAGTTTTTTCATTGATACTAAAACCGCAGTGACCTGGAATCCAGATAATGTGGCATTTTTCAATAATTGGGTCTTTTAAAAGGTTGTAGATATCGAAGACATACTTATTGAATGGGTCTTTGCTCTTGATTAAAATTAGAGCAGATTTGCTGTCAGAGAAAACTACAAATTTTTTCAGCTTAATTTCAGATGCATGGATGATTGCTTGTCTGATGGCCAGAAGTTCAATGAAAGTGGATGATAGTTCTTGTAGAACTTTGAATTTTCCTATAAGTAAGTTTGGGTATTCAATAATTGAAAAACTAGAGATGTCCGAATTGATAGATCCATCCGTTGCGTATATTTTGAAGTTATTTTCGACGAAGTGGTTAAGTTTTTGCAGACAAGCGATTCGAAGACAAGACACTGATCGATTTTTTTTTGAGTTGGTGATTGTATTAAGTAAGTTTAATTCAACTACGCATTTATCATGAATAATATTATTCCAGGAGGGTATTGAGTTAACTTTATTGAAGATGTTACTGAATTTTTTGAAGCAGTTAGAGTAACTACTGATGACATGATTGTGTCTGGAAGTGACCTCGTCAAAGAAGGCAGGTTTGAAGATTTTTACCCTGAGAAGTTCTTTTGCAGTTACAAGATAAATTCTCTTAGCAACGGGGAGTTCATAAGAGATGGAACGTAAAATTGATGTTGGTGTTGAGGGGGACAAACCGGTACAACGTCTTAGGATTGAGTGTTGAAAGGTTTGTATTTTTTTTAATGAATACGCAGGAGCGTTACACGATGTAGAGTAGGGATATTCAATTTTGGAGCTAACAATAGATTTGTAAACGTTTAATGCTTTCCTAGGTGGGAGTCCGGTGTGAATGTTGGTCAGAAAAAAAAAACAGAAACCTTAATATTTTCTATATATTTAAAATTTTAAAATATAATCAACTTTTCTTACCTTGTATCCTTTTGCAATGTGTCGTATTAATTAATTCTTCCAATGTTTATTGCTGATAATACCAATATATTTTTGTGTTTAATCAAGCTTTAGAAAATTAAAAAATAAGCAACTAACATTTGATGTTTTCTCACAAATGAGTACGTTTAATGACTATTGTGCTTTAGTACTAATTTTAGAGTTACCATAATTAGTTTTTGGTTGCAGTTTCAAAAATAGCACTTTATTTACCGGCGTGAAAATAACAAACGACAATGGGCAGATCTATACGCATATCTGACACGCTTTTATGTAGTCACATAGGATATTTATTTATTTTGATATTTCAGCTATGATAAAATTAGTATTTATATTAACTTTTATATTGCAGAGAATCGATTATTTCGATTTTGGTATCTCTGTAACTGTTCGTTAAAGGTTTACTTTTCAGTTTCGTTTTGTAGCTTCCTATAATTACTAGGCATTCCCATTTTTTCGAAAATTGCGTCGCAGGCTTTCTCTCATAGGTTCTGCATATGTCCTCTTTTATAGACCGCGTTGATTAACTCTTCTATCAAAATGCTTTATTCTTAAATTTTCATCCTTCTTATTTTTGTTATCGAAACGGAATTCTTTTTATAGCAGTTAAAAAAATGATAGCTGAGCAAACCCGATCATTAAATAGCCAGCCAACTTCATTTAATAGAGTTATTAATTCACCTTCGTCATAACAGACCAAAATTATTATTTTATTCTTCATTAATGTCCTCATATTACATGGGACGCACAATTTGAATCGACGTGGTCCCAATTTAACAAACTTAACTTATCCGTTGAAGATTTTAATATTTTTCACCTGTCTTCATCGCATAAAAGTACAAATTAGATTTTGTCGCCATATAAGGGTTTATTTTTCATAGGAACGGTGGGGTTTAAGGAATAGGAATTTGCAATGCCATCCAAATTTCTTACGGTTAAGCATTAAAAATTAAACCTCCTTCCCAAATATCTAGCTATTAATTTTTATGTCAAATTAATTTCCGAAAAAGGGACATATTTTGTCCAAATTTGATACAGTTAAATTTACATCAAATTACTCTTATGAACAAATTTTTGTCATAAGATATCAAAAATTTATGCTTAAACGTTAAATACTAAAACCATACTAAAAGATGGTAAGACAATTTGAACCTTGTTTGGCGGAACATATATGGTGTAATTTTGTAGGAAAAAATTAGCTTTCGTTGTCGTTTTTAGCTGTTTGGCAAAGGCGTCTGAACACAAAAGCGCTTAAAGCACTAGTATTTAAGGCTATCGGCTTTATTAATACCGCCATTGAATTCTCTTTTTCATATCTAAAATGATATAATTATTATTGTTAGTTTTTGTTTATTTAGATGAATCGATTAGACCTGTTGACGATAAGGACAATAAAACAATATATTTAGTTACGTGATGAATATTTATTACACGTTGATTCTTTCCCTTCTTTTTTAAATTAATTTTGAGGTTATAAATTCTTCTGTTTTAATTTTATGTTTTTTGGTTGTCAAAAATTTCTCACCGATATCTTTTTATTTGAGTTATTTGCCAAAGTTGGTTGTCTTTCCGCCACTAGAAGGATAAAAACAAATCATATTATGTTTCAATAAAAACAACAATTTTGAGATCACGTGACGCTTGAAATATCAACGATATGATTTTGCTTTGTTTACATAGGCATCAATGCGAATGCATGCAACAAAAATAAGGGATAAAAATATCTCAATTGCGTTGCTGCAGGGATAATTGCAAGCTGTATTGTTTACCCACAGGAAATTTACCTGTCTTTATCCAACTTTGCCGACTTTTTACCAAACTTAATGGGAATTGATAAAGCATATGTTTTTGTATGTATATATACAAATAAAACAAAAAAAAAAGAAGTAGTAAAGGCAGTTTATTTTGAATTTAGAAATTATTTATCTAATTTATGTTTTACACTAATGTACGTTTTTATGCCCACCGCTGATGGGGACTATTCTCGTTTTGCCATAATGTTTGCAATACTCAAAAAGAAGCTTCAGAGACCTTACAAAGTATTTATATTTTTGATTAGCTTAAAATTCTGAGTTCATTTAGCTATGTCCGTTCGTCTGTGCGTCTGTGTGTCTGTGTGTTGTTGGCACTCTCCTGGTCGCAAAAATGAAGAAATCGACTTCAAATTTAGTAGAAACATTGTAAGTCTCTACACGCAGGTTGAAAATGGGCCAAATTGGTAACAGTAAAAACGCGCAGTGGAGTGTAAAAGGAACGCAACTCAGTTTTTTCTAATTATTGCAGTTAGAAGGCTGAAGCTTTTTACATTTGCTTTACGAGATACTTTACATTCTAGGTCCAAAAATGAAGCCAATCGGCCGTGTACACACAAAGTTATGAGTAATTAAAGTTAATTTTTTTCATTTTTTTGAGGTTTAATGCCTATTTATCGTAACGCAAACAAGATAGAATGCTTAAAACTATTTTTTCACTCCTTCAATGAAGATATATTATCTGCCTAAAAATGGGTTAACCTTTAAATGAAGATGTTAGACATCGCGATTAATTTTTTTTTAATAATACCAGCGATATGCAACTTGCAGAGTAGAATGCGAAAAGCATAGTGATGGTCATCCGAGATTCGGCCCCCGCCGAATATAACTTTCTTCTTTTTTTTTTTAATTAATCAAATGAATAAATAAATAAATACATAAATGAATATTGCAGACGTTATGAGCAAGCTGTGCAGGCTAGCTTCTTTACTCGTCCAAAAGGGCTGAAACAAGGTTCCCTTGTATTCACAGGATTATGCATCGGTATAGAAAAAGAGGAAGTAAAAAAGGCCGTGGACGAACAGACAGATGTGGTAGCGGAAGTTGCAAAACTCATCACAACTTTTTCTATAAGAAACAATTCTGACACTGGGCTCTTGTTAGTAACGCTTCAACCAACCAAATCATTAGGCGATGTCTTCTGGGACTGGGAGAGACCTAAAAAAAGCCGCAGAGGTTCCGTGTTATAGGTGCGACACATTTCCAAAAATTGTAGATCACAATATAAATGTCTGAAGTATGATCAAACGCACTTGCGTGCGAATGTTAGAGGGAAAACAATGACTCTACGGACCCATATTGCGGAAACATACAAAAAATATGTAGAAAAATGCAAAAAATATGTAGAAAAGTGCAAAAAATCTGTCCACAAGAAACAAGACGCAAAAAAAGCCGCTAAAAACCATTTCAGCCGCATTGTCAATGACATCACCCGTAAAATCCTTGGCAAATTTATTCAATTCACAGAATGTTCAAACCGTCTATAATAAACAATTTGCTGAAATTAGCCAACTTCTTCCTGGCATCAGACGAACTGTCACTCGAGCAAGAGGTAAGTGTATGCCTTGCTGGATCCCAAAAAATGCTCTAAAAATGTTTAATATTGTTATATAGTTATTTCGTTTGTGATATTACCTCGACAGCAGATTTTGCACATTAATTTATATATGCACGTATGCACGTACGTTCTGTAATTGCACATATCCCCGTTTCATTGTGCGCTCGGACTTTGATTTTGCTATTAATAAATAGCTGTTTTCCTCGTTAGTTCCCGATATTATTTAGTTTTAACCTCTTTTTTCTACTAGTAGGAACATTATAGTGGGGCCACGTCGACCATGACATATCCTACACCGCTCCACCTACTACAGGTGGATCCCTTTGATAATAATACATCAAAAAGTACGCGTTATTTTCATGCAAAGCCATAGTTGTAATGATAGTAAGCATATTGGAAGGTTAGACTTTCTTTCTATATAAGAGTTTGCGTTAATTGGTAGCCCCTGGGGTCCAAAAAAAATAGATCTATGTGAGTCAAATTCCCCAGCGTTAATTTTTTTGCGCAAAGACTAATCTGAATTAATCTGCATCATAAAATATTAAAAGTCTAGCCTTTCTTCGAAGCGCTTGCTACTTATGAGATATCTCATATGGAGCGTGGATAAAAAATAGAACCACATGGTTGAAATTAGATCCACTTCATTTTTTTATTCAATTGTTGTCAAGAACAAACTTTCATCACAAAAAAAATTAACAATTAACACCTTTTGGCATATATATGGATTTCGAGTTATGAAAATTCTCATATGCGTTGGTATTGAAAAAAATACACCTACGTGGTCCAAATTCGGTAATGTTGGTTTCTTTGGCAATTTTCTATTATGAGCCAATTTTAAACATGAAATATTGAAAATTCAACATTTTTACCATATAAAGATTCAGGTTCCTTCCGAACTGTTATAAGAGAGATGGTTCAAAAAATTCCTACAGCCAATTCGAAGTTTTCATACCAATATAGAATGTCGAAATACTGCTTCACAGAGACTTCAGAACCCCTTTCGTTTGTTACATACGTCCGCACTATATTAA